AGGAATGTTGTCTCTGTCTCTCTCTACTGTACTTTCACTCTTTCTTGATCTGATTTTTTTTTTAATTTTTATTTATTTATTTTTTTGGAGAGGCTTTTGCTATAGGGTGCGTGCACTCGCCAGACAGAGACAGAGAGACAAAAAGCGAGGAATCATCCCCCAGGGGGGATGGCCATGCTGCAATCCCTTCTCCTCCATTCTCCTCTTGGGATCTTGGGCACGCACGCACATGCACCCGGTGTGAGTTTTAAGCCACCAGGTCCGGAACTTGAACCGCAGTCGACTACGTGGGAGTCCAGTGACATAGCCATTACGCTAACTGCTGGTCCCTCTTTCTTGATCTCATTTTTTAAAGGACCTCGACTCACACACCAACATAGAAGATGGAGGGGTATCCCTTCATTGGGATATCTTCATTTTCCAGAGTCCCTTCGTGGAGGTCAAATGATCACTGGGATTTAATTCAACATATGTTGGCACATGCTATGGGCCAGCTGCAGTGCTGGGCACCCAGGGTGTTGTCATATGTTACTCTTTATGCTTTGAGGAGGTGACCTGAGACAGCAGAGGTAACAAGAGTTGAGATCCAGATAGCCTCACACAAGCATGTTTCCAAGGTCTTTGTCAGGTACCCATGAGGTGCCTGGGAAGAGAGGACTGTGGTTCCATCCACTCAACTGAACATCCTCATAGGGCCAGGCCTGCACCTGGCATGTGTCACCTCAGTAGTACAGAGCCACCAGCTTCTCTCTGATTCTCAGAATGGAAAGATTGCTCCAGGAGGAGCCAGGAGACACTTTGCACATTAGGAAAAAGTCCTCTTCATTGTTTCTGACAAATGTAGATGACTGGTACTGCCCACCCTATGTCCCATCTTGTCTATCTCATCAGTGCCTGTCCTTTCACTGACCACTCACTACACCTGGTCTGGCTGGACCTGAGCTCCAGACCATCAGTCTATAGCACACTCCTGTCTAACCTAACCCGGCATAGTCTGGCCTTGCTAAGAGCAGAGCCCATCCTGCTTCCAGAGCTATCGGAAGACTCTCCATCACCCCCACCTTCCCACTCCATGTCCTTCTGTAACAAATGATGAAGGTAAGAGAAACACAGACAATTGCCCTATGTCTAGAGAGAGAAGTAAATAGATAAATTCTCTGTCACCAGAGAGTTTACTCAGAATGCCAGGCAGAAAAGAAAAACTCTTCTACCTGGTGTTCCTCCAGTTCTTTCACAGGCAGACAACTGGAAAGCTCCATTCCTTCTGTTCAGTGGATTCTCACTTCGTAGAGAAGTTACTCTCAGTGTGATCTATGCTGGTCTTAGGAGGTTGGTTGGAAATTTAACCAGAAGACCTCTTTTCCAACTGAGCTGGAGAAATGGTGGTTTCCTTCAAGCCATTTGGGAAGACTCAGCATGTGGGTTGCTGAGAGGACCATGAATGTACTCTGACTAGGAGAGTTTCGGTTCTTAGGAACTCAGCAGCAGATGCTGGTTCTCCTAGGCCATGTGTCCATGCTCCTTCCTACCCTGTTCCTCTTCTGCCTTTCCACCCTAAGACCCCACATCCTAGCCCTCTGACTCTTCATCTCAAAAAGTATTCTGTGAGATTGCACCACAGTTAGGTGTATAACAGTCTTCAAAAACTCTTGGAAAACACATTTTTATGTAGAAACTAAGCATGGATTTTAAAATATGTTTTACCAAAGTAATAAACTCATATTTCAACTCCATTTTTTCATGAACTTTCTGAAGTCCCCCCGTAAGTGAGTGATAAAGTACTAAATTCCTTCCAAAGGTTCATGGACCTTCAGAGTTTAAACCATAAGTCAAGAATTGGAGGAACTCTGGAATCTGTTAGTTGAGGAAAAGGAGCCTTGGTAGAGTCTGTCATTTTGGTAGGCCATAGAGGAGCCTAGACAGAGTCAGATTGTGGGTGAGGCCGCAGGTTTGTTTTGGTTTTTGTTTTTCTATTTTTAGTGATAGATCCAGAATGAGTTATTGCCCTTCCAAGAAAAGCCATTTATTCCCCATTCGATTTCGTGTTCAAATTGTGACGCTGCATATTCTAGTCTCATTACAAATGGAGTTGTGCTGCAGTTTCATTGTTGCCCCATAAACTATAGCCACTCAAGAGGTTGCTCTGCTGACAGGAACCTGGCAGGTGGTCTCTTTAGGGATAGGTGGCTTCTCTGCTGTCTCCCCTGAGCTGTGTCTCTTTCTAGAATATAAAGGTCAGGTGCAGAGGGAGGGGAGTCCTTGGGATGATTGTTAGAGAGGCCCTATCCTACATGGTTGACTGGGTGGTTTGAGTTTAGGATCCAGCAGCTTGAGAAACATCTAGCACGTGTTCATGTGTGCCCCAAATCCAAGAGGAGGGAGTAATGGAGGAGAAGAGATTATTGCATGACTATTCTCCATGGGGGGGGGCGTGCTTTCTTACTCTTCCCCTCTCTGGTGAGTGCATGCACCCTCTGGCAAATTTAAGAAAAAAAAAAAGAAGAAAGGGCAGATGGGAAGGCACTGTGTCATGCTTAAGAGGAGGAGTGGGATTAGAGCTAGGACCAGGGTTCCCGGAAACCACTGATTCAGGGAGAGTGAACTGGGGCCTGGAATGTCCCAGAAGGTCCCAGAGGGTGGGGTAGGGTGGTCTTCTTTGTCTCTCTCGGCACTGCACTAGCAATTGGTTATTTACTGGGTTAATTAATAGTTCTTATGAATGGCAGCTTCGGCTGTTCCCCTTACTGTCTACATCGGCAGTTCTCAAGCATCGGTGTGCATTGGTGCGTACCAGAGAGCTGGTCACACAGATTACCCGCCCCCGAGGTTCTAATCTAGTACGTCTGGGGCTGGGCCCAAGAATGTGCATTTCTCATACTTTCCTTGGAGCTGCTGCTTGAGAGCCCACACCTGGAGGACCACTGGTTCACAGCACCGAGTATAGACCCTCAGCAGGCCTTCCAGAGGCCGGCCCTTTTCTGCTCTTCAGCTCTGACTTTGGGCCTCCAGCCGGGCATGCCTTGTAGGACTTGGCTCATGCTAGCCTGAGTACCTGGATCACCCTTCCTAACACTTTAGGTCACCTTCTCAATGCTGCTTCCATACTCAAGTCTTCCTCTGGCTTTGTTTTGCTGAATCTCAGCCATCAGCCATATTAATTTCAGCCCAGTGGGCAGGATGACTATCTTTCACTTACAGGTAAACCAAATCAGGCTTAAAGAATTAAGGAATATTTAGGAAAACACCACCCACACCCTTGGAAATCTCAGTCTGCCTCTGAGATGCAGATTAGGGCCCTCTGAATTACATTTACCATCTGACTTCAGGTGGACAGCTGCCAAAGCATCTCCTCCAATCCCAGACTTCATCTCCACAGTTCTGACTGCCCGTGGACAGCCTCCAATATGTTAAAGGAAATATCCTAGCAGCTTACAACACCACGATATCCTCATGGGCAGGACCTGCTTCATTCATCTTTCCTTCCCCTGTTCCTGGCACAGGGCCTGGCATGCCACGGGAGTTCAGTGAGGATTTGCTGAGTTACGCTGAGTGGAGCTGAAAGCGCAGACTCCCATCTGTTCACTGACCTCACACAGGGAATGTCTGTTGCTTTCTGGGGTGCTGGTGGACGTACTTCTTTCTCTTTTCATCTCCTTGGGACAGAGTCAAACTTGGCTCCTAAACCTCAGCCCCTGTAAAGCCAACTCTCCTTTTCTAGCTGATGCCCAGAAGAAAACTGGAGCAAGATCTATAGAGCAGGTACAGAATAAATTTATAAAGTAAAACAAATAAAGACCGAGAAATGAGGGTACTGGAGTCGACTTCAGAACTTGCATTGCTCATTTCCTTTGCCTACAGTTGGACAACGGAAAGTGGTTACATGAAAATTAAATTGTGCCAAGGGCTTTGGCGTGTCAGCCTCGATAAATGTCGGATGCAGATAGAGAATCGTGTACCATCCGTAGCCTGCCAAAGTACATTGCAGAGGCTGCGGGGATCCCTCAGAGGCCTGAACATTCTCTTACATGAAAATGATCTACTTTTCACTGGCAAATTCTTTCAAAGGATGAGATTCACTCCCCCACATTTTTCTAAAACCTATTTGGTTAATTTGAGTGAGAATACGGTTAAGGAAAAGTCCGGTTTTTCTTCTTCTTGCTAATATTGAGTCATAGAGCCAAGCAGACTGCTAATTTTGAAGTGTGCTGGGTCAGGCTTTCTACTGATTATGTTGCTATTGATTCAAACAGTCACAAGTCTTTAGGATCATTTTTAAAACAATGGCATGAGCAGGGCTGAAATGAAAATCAGTCTGGGATAATGAACACTCCTGCTTGGAAATCATTATGAGCTGAGCCGGCCAGGGAGGCACTGAGCCTTGGGGAGTTAACACTCAGTCATCAGTACTTCCCTCTAGCCAAGGCTTTCAGCTCTTGAGGAACGTCTGCCTGAGTCTGGCAATTCAACAGGTAACCAGTGAGTGTTTTTCTGTTGGTTTGTTTCCCTCCTGGAACATGGACTTTTTTTTTTTTTAATATATATTTTTTGAGAGTTTTTTTTCACTATAGGGCACGTACACTTGCCAGACAGACAGAGAGAGACAGAGAGACAGAAAGCGAGAAATCACCCCCCAGGGGGGATGGTCACGCCGCAGTCCCTTCTCCATTCTCCTCTTGGGATCTTGGGCACGCACGCACATGCGCCCGGTGTGAGTTCTAAGCCACTGGGTCCGGGACGTGAACGGTGGTTGACTATGTGGGAGTCCAGTGACATAACTGGACATGGACTTTTAAAAGAGCTTAGGTAAGGATTAGGGAGTTTTCCTGTTTTTCAGTTGGGAGGCAAACACCACTGGTAGTGGATGGGGGCTGAGATAGCAGTTTGCCTTTTCCTGGGAAGCGGAAGTCTACTTTCCATGCATGTGTGGAAGGAGTCAGCAAACTGTGGCCTTCCAGCCAAATGGGCCTGGCTGCTCGTTTTTCTGTGGCCTGAAGGCTGTGAAAGTTTTTTTCCTTTTTAAAATATTTTTGAGTGGTTTAAAATAAAAATGAACGAAATTAAAAAAAAATTGTGAAGCATGAACATATATGAATTCAAATGCTTGCTTTTCCAGTGTCCATAACTAAAGTTTTTTGGAACATAAAGATGATCAATGCAATGTTCATTCATTTATGTACTGTCTGAGGCTGCTTTAATGCTACAACAGCAGAGCTGAGTCCTTGCAACAGAGACCATATGGGCTGCAAAGCCCTAATGTTTACTCACTGGCACTTCACAGGTTGAGTCTGCCAATCCATGACATAAAGGAATGAAGGACATTGTTTCCCACCAGGAGCTCTCTCATGGAGGGACCATATCTACAAGGTATAGCCCTTGTTAAGAGATTACACTGAAATCACGTTTTTGGTATTTAGATGAATTTGGGCCTTGGTCAGACTTACAGCATTTGATTAAATGCTGTAAGTAGAATATGCTTTTAGTGTCCTTTAAGACAGGTCACCAACTGGTTTATTGTACTAGCCCCTAGGGCAACTCATTCTGGCCTTTTCCAATCTCAACCTCGACTTCCTCCTGCTCCTTGTCATCTGAGTCACCTGAGAGGTGGCAGCCTTTCTAGTTTTGAGCTCTGGATTACAGAATCTGATCTTCTACTTGGCAAGACTAACAACAGACTGGTCTGTGGCCCAACCAGTCAGCAGTTCCTCCTGGGTATGAGCCTGCATCTGCCTGACTGCTACTGTCAGAATGAGAGGTCACAGGGTGTCGAAGAGAACCGAAAGTCTCGGCTCCGGGATGCCAACGTAAGGAGGCTAGGAAATGCTAGGCTGTCTAGTCACGCTTTCCACTCGTGGTCAGAATATCTGGTGGAGGGCACATTATATTTCCTCCATTCACCTGGATACTTCCTGAAGATCGTGTTTTTCTTCTCTAAGTACTTTGATCTTGTTCTCACCCATGGTGATGAATAGGGTCCTAGGAAAGCAGAAAAATGCCTGGGACCCGTCAGCAACACCAGAGTGCCTCATATCTGGAGTGGGCCGACAGAGAGTGACTGCTTGCAGCAAGAGCTGAGGGAAAGGGCTCTGATTTCCTGTTACCAAAAGTCTCTTTGGATCACTCAGCTTTCTTGCCCTAACTCATGTGCCAATTTCACCAGCACTGCCTCCCCCACCTCCCCAAAAAAGCCCTAAAATACATCAAGATTTCACAATGATCCAAGCAGCTCACTCCACCACAAAAAGGTAATGGGACCACCAGAGACAGCCAGAGGGCTGAGGAACACCTTCCCCTCCCAACCAAACAAAAAGACTGAGCAGAGAAAAAAGTGCTGTCATACACACAGTCCTTACATATCTTAACTCAGAACCTGATGCAAAAAGAATTCGTTTGAAACACTTCAAGTGTTTCTTTTGCAGCAACAATTTGGCAGAGTTTAGTAGCTCCTAAATGACCAACTAAAGAATTTCCTTTAATTAAAATAATGGGATGGCAAAGACGAACCAGTCCTGCAGACCTTCTCCATGTAGATGTGCAGATGCAGCTGACAGAAGAGGGCTATTTGGTTAGCAGAACTCACAGAAGAGTCTATTTCCATTTAATGAATGCAGTACCCCACACTTCTCCTAATGCTTTCCCTCAGAAGAGAAAAAGAAGAGCACTGCTGCGTTGTGAACACTCCCCCCTTCTCCTGTGATTTACCCTCTCCCTCCTTTTTCATGTGTCTCTTGGATAATTTCTAGGCCTGTTTGTTTCCTCTCTGCAGCTATAAAGTCCTCTGTGGGGACAAGCTTGTCTTATTCAGCTTTATCCCCTTCCTCCAGTGCTGGGAGAGTGCTTTGCACACAGAAGTAGGTCCCCAGCCATGCTTGGTAGGGGCATAAATATGACTGTAAGTAGAACTGTGGACTAGGAGTGGAGTGTGGGGACTCTGCCTTGTAGCAACAAGGACAATCTGAGCTACTCTGAGCAAGACACTGAATCTCCATGTTTTGGTCTACTCATCAAGAAAATGTCCTAATGATATTACTGTGAGGTTTAAGGGAGGAAACCGATGCAGAAAATGCTTTAGGAGATGGAAAAAGGTGTATAAGGTTTTCCTAAATCAGAAGGTTCCAAAAGCCTGCCTGGGCAGAGTCTGGACTTGAAGACTTTAATGGATGACCAGATCCTGAACCTTCTGTCAAGCCTCAATGCCGCTTGACTAGGGATCAGCTTGGTGCCTGTGTCCAACCAATACGGACTAGGCTTGGGGAGGGGTGGGAGGATGGGGACAGATCACACATACTAAGGATGAAGACGAACCCAAGACGGTTGAAACAAACATGTTCTCAGCCTTGTGGAAGTCATATAAGAGCCATAATTCTGGCTTCTTAGTCTCTTGGCCGTAAAAGATCATAGACCAGTTACTATAGCAACAATTCTCCTCATGAGGTGTCCATGTTAGCTTGGAATTGGAAAAGATTTTCTTATTTAAAAAAAGGAAGAAAGAAAAAAAAAAGAAATTAGGTTTTCAGATATATTTGCCCTCTACCCAAAGTGTTCTTCCTTTTATGAGAAAAAGAAAGAAGCAGCGGCTATTATCACAAATATGCTTCTAATTTTTAGCAGCTAGATTTCTAAACTTGGATTTTAGACTCCGCAGCTCATTCTTGTCCCAATACATTCAAAAAAAAAAAAAAAGAGTTGTATTTTCAGGAGATAAAACAATGAAATAGGAGATAAGGATCATGAGGCTAGATGGTAAGAGCCTCACCAAACTTGGGGGTCCCTTTGCCCAGGGAGAGCCAGCCATTCCACCTCATCTCCCAGCTCTGCATTCTCCATGAAACCCACCTATGTCATCTCTCATCCTCTCCTTCCACTTTCTGGCTGTGGGCTAGTCCTAGCTGTGCGCAATGCTCCCTGGGTCCTGTGGTTTTCTGTGGTGGCCCATGGCAGGGCAACCTCTCAGGTCTCAACGGTTTACCTAGGCAGGCAGCTCAGGACCAGGGCCCACTGTGGCTAAAGACCTGTTCTTGGTTTTGGGCTTTTCATGTAAGTTTATGTGGCCTCGGAAAGGAGCAAAGGGAAAGGCTCTTGAAGCTGTGTGTGTATGTGCACGTTTGTGTGTGCGTGTGTGTATAAACCTTTTTTGTAAACTTAACTTCTGCCTCAACAAAGACTTCCTTTTATAGTGTTAAGCACTAAGACCTTACATGTACAAAGTTCAACCATTCTCTCTGTATAAAGTGACCTGGAGAATCAATGTTAAGGAGGGACTGCTGGTCTTGTGGAGAAAGATGATTCAGAAAGGTGCACACAGTGAGTTGAAACCCAAGGGCCCTGGAAACAGTGAGCTTGGGGGGAGGTGAACAACCTAAAGCAGACCTCCCTGCAGAGATGGTAAAAGCAGAACTCTGTAGACTGGCTAACAGGATGCTGAGTGGATCAGGGCAGGAGAAGCAGGGCTACAGGACAAAATCTACCCTGAAGTCCTCATTAATGATGACACTGGGCTTCTTGGAACCACCCCCTGGCTGGGACACAGGGAATGTCTGAGGCATAAAAGGTGGTGGGTTCCACGATGCTGGGAAAGGCCTTCCCAGACCTGTCATAGAAATCAGAGGTGAGGTGTGATAGACTTGGGCAAACATCTGGTTGGGCTTACAAAAGGGGCAAACAGGTTGTGTAGCAGACCATGGGCCACTAGTAGGGGAGGGTGGAGTCATCCCACTCTAGCTGGGCTTGCCTGGCTCCACTCTGCCCATGTCTGCCTCTGCCCATCCCTTCTTCTTCCTCCTCCTCTTCGCTGTCATCAGAGTCACCGCTGCTGGAACTTATGTCTTCTTCTGCTTCCTCTTCCTCCTCCTCTCCTTCAGTATCATCTTCCCCATGCCTTGGTTCTTCATGTTTCTGTATGTTGGAAAGAGAGAAGAGAAATACTCATCCGGGGATGAATGGAGGCCACTTTGGAGCGTATGTTTCTGCCCCTGTTAGGAAAACATTTAGGACTTCTTAGAAGTTGTCTCTCTCTAAGGCTGGCAGGTAGCATGGTGGTTAAGAGAAGTTGTCTCTCTCTAAGGCTGGTAGGTAGCATGGTGGTTAAGGGTGCTGGACTCCCACATGGCCGACTACAGTTTGAGTCCTGGACCTGGTGGCTTGCTTTCTTACTTTCCCACTCTTTCTCTCTCACTCTGTCCCTCTCTGGCCAATCAATCAATCAATCAATAAAGTTAAATAAAATAATTCTTTTTTTTTGAAAAAAGAATTCTCTCTCTGTTGTCTCTCACTTTTTTTTTTTTTTTTTGTAGAGAGAGATTTTTGCTATAGGGCTCATGCACTAGCCAGAGAAAGAGAGACAGAGAGACAGAAAGCAAGAACTCACCCTCCGTGCCACAATAATTTCTTCTCCATTCTCCTCTTGAGATTTTAGGCACACACTTACACATGCCTGGTGTAAGTATTAAGTCACCAGATCTGGGACTCGAATCACAGTCAACTACATGAGAGTCCCGCAAGGTAAGTATTATGCTATCTGCTGGTCCCAGAATTTTTCTCTCTTAATGTCAAACCCTTGGGTCTGAAAATAGGCTTTCCACAGGGGGGTCCTCTGGTGAAAAAGAAGTCAGGATTGGGAACCAGCAATTAGCGTAATGGCTATGTCGCTGGACTCCCACGTAGTCGACCGCGGTTCGCGTCTTGGACCCGGTGGCTTAAATCTCACGCCGGGCGCGTGTGCGTGCGTGCCCAAGATCCCAAGAGGAGAATGGAGGAGAAGGGATTGCGGCGTGACCATCCCCCCTGGGGGGTGATTTCTCGCTTTCTGTCTCTCTGTCTCTCTCTGTCTGGCGAGCGCACGCGCCCTATAGTGAAAACCTCTCAAAAAAAAAAAAAAAAAAAAAAAGAAAAGAAGTCAGGATTGAGTATAAAGGCCTAAAATAGCAGTAAGTCCAAGACATAAACTCAAGGGAAAATGCTGTTTATAAGTGATGGGATGGACATTTAAGCCAGTTCCATTCACTCTTTGTTGACTCTTTCAGGCAGATCATTCCAACCTTGTTTGCTGTTCTGTGACAGAATGGTACTGGGACTTGTACTCCCTTTCCAGGTGGGACTACGATGTTTCTGGGACCAGTAGGCTTTCTAAGCCAACACTCAAGTATGCTGTCCCTCAAAAATAGTCCTTTAGAAAGGATAATGTTCATACTCCTCACTTTCTATGTCTGCTTCTCACACCTTGCCTCATGTCCTCAAATTACCCCAGTCATTTCAGTTCTGTTTTGCTTCCCTGTAGATTTTTGGAGATTCCAGCAAAATACTACTTCTAGATTTACGATCTGTGCTGATGAACCAGACCGTAAAAGATATGTCTCCTTGCTTGGGCAATCTCTCTTCAGAATGTCTTTTATTCTTCTTTTGCTTCCCCCAAAGCCTACCCAATTCTTTAAGGTTTCTCTTAGGCAAACTTCCATCAAACACCTCTGATCACACCAGCCCCAATGGCTCTCCCTACTAAAGCTTCACAGACTGTTGACTTCTGCCAGTTAGTCCTTGTTAGACTCACTCTTGCTTATTCTCAGATTGCTCTAGGTAGAGTGCTCTCTTTTCTACATTTAAGGTTAAGCTCTGAGGGTGGAAATGCTCAAGCTCTCACAGAGGTGAGCTCAGCATTGCACTGGTCCTATGTGCTTAGAAAAGGTGAGTCACATTGGCATGTCAGCTTTAAAATCAGAGCATGAAGCCCTGAGTCACACTGGCATGTCAGCTTTGATATCAGAGCATGTGGCCAACAGGGGGTAAACTGAGGACCAGGTGGTATGATCACCTCTGTTATTTCCTGGTGACTCCTGGACCTCTCCTACTGTTCTAGATAGACCTGCGTCTACAATCACTGCACCATGGACAAAGGGGCTAGTGTAGACAGCTTCCCTTGATATTCTTATGTCCAGAGCAGAGAACGTGGACACTCATAGATGGGTTCTGAGTACAGTTGGCTAACTGAAAAAATACAAGATATACACTTTAGACTCAGACACCCTTGAGTTTGAATCTAGGCTGTGTGAGTTTGAGTACTCTCCTGCTCCTCTCTCTGTTGGTTTTCATCTTGATCAAGAAGGATGATGACTTCTACTTTGCAGGTTTGGGGAAGATTAAATGAATTGGTATGTAAAACAACCCTGTGTAGTATCTGGCATAATAGAGGCTCAATAAATGGCAGGTGTTGTCGTTGTATTTTTGCTTTAACCTATTCTGAGTCTTTAAGTGAGCTCCACAGGCAGTATGGAGCAAAGGCATCTAATTTGCACTGTTCATCAGGAATTCAATGCTGAGTCCCTGAGTATTAGTCAGCTCTGAGCTAACTGTAAGAGAGGCAAGGGATAGACATCGCATGGATGCTTGCTTTAAGACATTTCTGATTCTATTTGTGGAATGAGAGCAATTCACAAGTTTTTAATGAGATAATGTAGTTTGTGGGAAAATATGATCTGTTCAGGTTGAGAGGTCCAAGAATCTCAGAGATGGGAAGAATCCATGGGCTTGGACTAATTGGGGCAGAACTTCTAGAAGGAGGGGTCTTATGTCAGAGTTCAGGGTTCAGAAAGGACTGGCAGGGTGGTGGGAGAGCACCCCACCCAGAATTCCCAGCCCTGCATGAGGATCACCTCCATGGGGTTGACTGTGATAGTTAGCGCAGAGTCGTCCCAATCCATTTCAGCCTCCTTGGCAGCCTCATTCTCCTGGATGAAATGCTGGTGGGCAATCCGGACGCGGTACACACCCATGGCCACCACAAACACCAGCATGCACACGGAGATGATGATGACCACTGTTGCGATGCTTGGGACCACTGGAACAAAGAAGGAACCAGCATGACATGGTGAACAAAGGTCTAGCCCATTCCTGTGTTGGAGAATGAATGGATTATCCATGTGTAGGTTAAAATCATCCTTACCACTTTCTAGCTATAGAACTCTACTCCCTATCCTGTTCAGGCTTCACTTTATCATCTATTATTTATAATGGACTTAATAATTCCTAATTGTGAGGAATAAACAAAATAATCTATGCAAGTTTTTACACAGGTATAGAGTAGGTGCTCAATACATGCATGTTTCTTATATCCTTGGCTTTTCATTACAAGTAATAGGGCAGATGCCCACTGAGAGCCAGGCACCATGGAATTTAGTAGGAACAGACATAAGTAGCCACCAGATGGTAACACAGTATGGCAAGTGATCAAACAGAAGTACAGACAGAAGACTGCATTATGGTGCACATGTATACGTATGAGTGAACATAATGCATTCATGGAAAGCTTCATACAGGATGTAACTTTGAGTTAGGCCTGAAAGAACGAGCAAAATTTTGTTCTAGCTCTAAGTACAAATTTCGGTTATTATGTATTATGTGTAACTTCTTGTTCACTTGACTGACTCTCTGTTGAGGCTGTGAGTACCAAAGAGGCAGGGCCCACCTCTTCTCAATGATTGATTTTCTCCTTCAGTTATAGGCATCTCTGGCTGCTGCAATGTAACTGTCTGTTTAGTGGCTTAAGTTCAATAACCACCTGGTGTCCTACCTGAACTGCGTTGGATGCTGCTCCGGGAGTCAGGGTGATGCACGGACTGGAGGAAGGGAGGCTGTACGATAAGATGATTGACATGCTCCTTGTCTGAAACTCTAACTTCATGGAGGACGCTGACCTGGGAAGAGCAGGGAGAGGTACTGTTGACCAGAGTGGTGGGTAGGCCAGTTGTCGCAGTTCCATTGACTAAATGGGTGAGCCTAGGATTCCATAACAATGGTGGGACCCACTCACCTCCAAGTTGAACTCATTGCTAGTGTATCGCCCATTGAGTTCTGAGCACTTGATCCGGAATCTCCGAGTCTCAAGGGAAGCAGGACGCCAGTTGCGGTAGTGGATATGACGCAGTACCTGCTCATAGCGGCTCATGGAGCCCACACCTGAACAAAGAGACCACACTTGTCATCAGGAGGCGGAAGAGGATAGAGAAGAGGAGACAGAGAAGGCAGGCTGGTGCTGCTGTGGCTTGTGGTCCCCTGAATTCATCTAGCACAAGAGCTTGAGATGCTCATAGGCAGACAATGTGCAGAAGCCAATTAAAATGATTCATAGGCTTTCCATATAGACTGTGCTCTGCTGGGGTATTTGGTTTCAATGTGCCAAACATTGCTGTAACATTTTCTGAGATAAAACTTTATAAGAGAAGGCATTCACCTAAGAGTGGGGAAGTAGAATAGGTTTCCCCAAGAGTGAGGATGCAGGGAACCAGCAGTTAGCGTAATGGCTATGTCGCTGGACTCCCATGTAGTCGACCGTGGTTTGCGTCCTGGACCCAGTGGCTTAAAACTCACGCCCAAGATCCCGAGAGAAGAATGGAGGAGAAGGGATTGCTCCAAAAAAAAAAAAAAAAAAAAAAAGGGGGGGGAGGAAAAAAAGGGCCCCA